GAGTTGAGGAGCGTGGGCCTCCTTTTCTGCAGGCTGAGCCTCCTCAACCCTTTGTGGGAAGAATTTTTCCCCAATACCCAACCTAAACCTCCCATGGCACAGCCCCTGTGGCTGCACTGCCGAGCTGCCCCCGCCCCGGGCTTGCTGTGGAGCGCTCCCGGGGCGGAGCGCGGGCAGAGCCGCTGTCCCGCTCTTGCAGACATGGCGAAGCGCCTGGCCAACGTGCTGCGGGTGGTGCTGAGCCTGCAGCAGGGCCCCGAGGCGGGCCCCGAGCCCGCGGAGCCGCGCGTGCCCCTGCGGCTGCTGGCCCCGCACATCGGCCGCCTGCCCATGCCCGAGGACTACGCGCTGGAGGAGCTGCGCGGCCTCACCCAGGCCTACCTGCGGGAGCTGGCCCTGGCCGCGCACTGACCGCCCGCCCGGCACGGCCACTGCTCCGGCCGGACTCGCTCCAGCCGGACTCGCTCCAGCCGGACTCGCTGCGGGACTCACGCCCAGGCGGAGCCACCCGTCCGAACCGGCTCCATGCCCAGCCCCGGCACCGCCCATGCGCACCGAAGGTCTTCATGCATGAGGAGTATCGAAAGGTTTTTATCAAAAAAATATAAATAAATGCTCTAGATTATTTTCCTGTCTTTTTGAAAACCACAAATAAAATGTTTATAGTACTCCCATGGGTTCCTTTGCTTTTTAAAGCAGGGGCTGGGTTTGTAGATGTGTGTCCTTTGCTGTGTCGCCCCAGAGTGGCTGGGCTGGGTGGACAGGGAGAAAGGACAGCCGAGGAATGTGCGATACAATCCCACCTTGCTTTCAGTGGTGATCAGGGTAGGCTCCTTCAGAATCTTGGGAGGAAACAGCACTGGTCTCCAGGAGGGAGTGTGGGGAACCCAGCTAAACCAGACTGTGGCCTTTGGGTACTGAAAGGGGCTCGTGTAGAAGGGCTGGAGAGGGACCCAGGGAATGGCTCCCAGTGCCAGAGGGCAGGGCTGGGTGGGAGATTGGAAATTGGGAATTGTTCCCTGGCAGGGTGGGCAGGGCTGGGATGGAATTCCCAGATTCCCCTGGATCCCTGGCAGTGCCCAAGGCCAGGCTGGACACTGGGGCAGGAGCAGCCTGGGGCAGTGGGAGGTGTCCCTGGCCGCTGGCACGTTCAGGTGACACTGGCTGTGCGCAGGGGCCGGGTCACTGCGGCTTCGCCTCCTTCCATTACTGTAATTGGGCCTGAGCAGCCCCGGCCCGGGCGGGACGGGCTGGGATGAATAATTCACCGCCTGGAAACAAAACCTCCGGCCTCAAAACCGCTCGGCATCTGCCGCCGGGGCTCGGCGTGGGAAAGGTGCCAGGAGGGGCCGGGGAAGAGGAGCGGGTGGATTCCCCGGGGCTGGAGCTGGGGGATGCTCCGGCACCCCTGCCCCTCGCTGCTTTGTGTCCCTCAAGCTCCCGGGATTTTCCTCCCACCGAACGGGAACGATCTGCCCCCTCCCTTGCTCTTTCCCGAGACCGGAGGGCGGGATGTCCCTTGCTGCGGGTGCGGTGTCCCCGGGCTGGGGCAGGTGACAGCTCCGCGGGGCTCCACCCGCGCCTCCCAAACCCATCCCGAGGGGCTCGGCTGCGCCCCGAGCCCAGCCCGGCCCTGCCCCTCGCAGCCGGGACCGGCGGGGGTCGCCCCCCGAGCCCAGCCCGGCCCTGCCCGGTCCCCCTCGCCCCCGGCCGCGGTGCCCGGGCCGTGCCCCCCCGCCTGACGTCAGCGCCGTGTCCCGCACCGCGGCGGGATGGAGCCCGCAGCCCGCCTCTGCCTCGCCCTCTGCCTCGCCGCCGTCCTCCCGGCCCCGGGTGAGCAGCGGGGCTCGAGGGACGCGCACCCACTCCGGGAGCGGGGGGCGGCCCCGGTGCCCCGGGCAGCATCGCCCCGCACCCACGCAGGGAATCCCGGGGCCGGGCGCTGGGCTGGCGGTGGGGAGGGACGGGGGTCCCGTCGTGTTCCCCGTCCCTCCCAGCTGCCGCAGGTCCCTCCCCGGGTCCTTGGGGATCCCTCGGGAGGGGTCCGGCTGCACCCCGGCCCCTCCAAGCCCCGCTCCGGGTGTCCCCAGGCTGCCGGGGGGCGCCGGGAAGGTTCGCCTACAAACTGCTCCACGACCTCTTCGCCAACTACTCCAGCGCCCTGCGCCCCGTGGAGGACACGGACCGGGCACTCAACGTCACCCTCAAGGTCACCTTGGCCCAGATCATCGACATGGTGAGCCCCGCGCCCCGCTCCCCGCAGCGGCTCCTGCTCGACCCTTGGAACCAGCCCGGGTCCGTCCCCAAAGCAGCCCAGGCGGCCTCGAGTCAGCTCAGAGCCCTTTGCAGACAGCCCCGTCCCCCCCAAATCAACACGACCCCCTGGAATCCAGCTCAGCTCCCGGAGAGGCCGCCGGGCTGGGGGCCGAGGGGAGGGGGCGGCCCCGGGGTCCATCCCCCACGCCCACCCTCTCCCCTCGGCAGGACGAGAGGAACCAGGTGCTCACCTGCTACCTGTGGGTGCGCCAGACCTGGCTGGACGCGCACCTCACCTGGGACAAGGACGAGTACGGCGGCATCGACAGCATCCGCATCCCCAGCAGCTACGTGTGGCGGCCGGACATCATCCTCTACAACAAGTGCGTTGTGCTGGGCCCGGCTGGGGCTGGGGGCTGCACGGTGCGCCAGCCTGGGCCGGGAAATGGGGGGTCCTGGAGGGGGACATGCAGGGAGGTGAGGGGCGGGGGGGCTGGCAGCGGCCAGGGGTGCCCGGGGCTGCCCCAGCAGGAGGGGACAGCCAGGGGATGTGGCCCCACACCCGGGGCTGCCCCAGCAGGAGGGGACAGCCAGGGGATGTGGCCCCACGGGCACCCCTCCCTGCCCAGCGCCGACGAGCGCTTCGGCGGCTCCATGGAGACCAACGCGGTGCTGCGCTCCGACGGGCACATCATGTGGGACTCGCCCGCCATCACCAAGAGCTCCTGCAAGGTGGACGTGTCCTACTTCCCCTTCGACGGGCAGCAGTGCCGCCTCACCTTCGGCTCCTGGACCTACAACGGGAACCAGATCGACCTCCGCAACCAGCTGGACAGCGGGGACCTGACGGACTTCGTGGAGAACGTGGAGTGGGAGGTGCTGGGCATGCCGGCCACGAGGAACGTCATCACCTACGGCTGCTGCTCCGAGCCCTACCCCGACGTCACCTACACGCTGCTCCTGCGCCGCCGCGCCTCCTTCTACATCTTCAACCTGCTCCTGCCCTGCATCATGGTCTCCTTCCTGGCGCCCCTGGGCTTCTACCTGCCGGCCGACTCGGGGGAGAAGGTGTCGCTGGGGGTGACGGTGCTGCTGGCCCTCACCGTGTTCCAGCTGCTGGTGGCCGAGAGCATGCCCCCCTCGGAGAGCGTCCCGCTGATCGGTGAGCCCGGGCCGGGCTCCGTGCCGGGGCTGGGGCAGGGCTTGGCACGGGGGGGAGCCGGGGCCCGCCGTGCCCCCTGCCAGCGCCCGCTGCCCCCACAGGGAAGTACTACATCGCCACCATGACCATGATCACGGCCTCCACCGCGCTCACCATCTTCATCATGAACGTGCACCACTGCGGGCCGGGGGCCCGGCCCGTGCCCCCCTGGGCACGCCGGCTCATCCTGCACCACCTGGCGCGGCTCTGCTGCGTGCACGAGGTGGGCGAGAGCTGCAAGAGCCCCCAGCGGGCCCGGGCAGCTCCGGGGGATGCGGGGGCAGCGGGGCAAAGCCCCGGGGAGGGGCGGGCGGGCACGGAGGTGCGGGGCTGCCCCTGGGACCACTGCCTGTGCCACCACGACGCCCTGCTGAGCAACGTGGGGTACCTCGCCGGCTGCTTCCGGCGCCACCGCGCCAACCAGCGCCGCACCGGCGAGTGGAAGAAGGTGGCCAAGGTGATGGACCGCTTCTTCATGTGGGTCTTCTTCCTCATGGTCTTCCTCATGAGCGTGCTGGTCCTGGGCAACGCTGCCTGATGGCTCTGGCACTGTGAGCCCCCGGGGATGGCTCGGGGCCTCCTGAGGGAGACACAAACGCCCCTGGTACCCCCGAGCTGCGGGGCGGGAGCTGCACCATCCCTGGGGAAGAGGTGCTGAGAGTGGGACCCCCGGTGCAGGGCCGAGGGGTGCCAGCCCCTGTCCGACTGTACCAGAGTGGGCACCCACGTCCCCCCGTGGCATCCTGCACCTGAGAAATCCACCTGGAAATAAACCATGGAACGCGTCTCCTGCCCCTGCTGTGGGGGACAAGGGTGCTGCTGGCTGAGGGTGGCCCCGGGAGGGATGGGGGGCCCAGGCCCTGAGCTTGGCTGAGGGATGGGGCTCCCCATGGAGAGGGGCGGGGGGTTCCCCCGGGAAGGGAAGGGAAGGGAAGGGAAGGGAAGGGAAGGGAAGGGAAGGGAAGGGAAGGAAGGGAAGGGAAGGGAAGGGAAGGGAAGGGAAGGGAAGGGAAGGGAAGGGAAGGGAAGGGAAGGGAAGGGAAGGGAAGGGAAGGGAAGGGAAGGGGAAGGGAAGGGAAGGGGAAGGGAAGGGAAGAAGGGAAGGGAAGGGAAGGGAAGGGAAGGAAGGGAAGGGAAGGGAAGGGAAGGGAAGGGAAGGGAAGGGAAGATGATAAACTCTCCAGGAGTGATGGGTGCTGTGATGGGAGGAGGCTCTGCTGGGCACAGAGGGCACCCAAGGAGGAGTTTGGGATTCTCAGGGAAGCAAGGGGGGAGGCAGCAGGAATGGAGAGGGATGGCCTTTGGAAGAAGGGGCAGCAAAGCAGGAGGTGACAAGGATGCCCTGAAGTCACGCAGGGGAAAACAAGAAGTGTCAGCAGCCCCAGATGGACCTTGGGAACACCTCCAGGAGCTCATGGAACTGCGTGGGGAGCTGCCATGGGGGCTGCAGCTACCCAGCACCGCCTGTGTGCTCCTGGGCAGCCCCACGGCTCCACTTCGATAGCCCGGTACATGGGCATGTCCCCTTTGTCAGGTGTCACACAGGGGGCTCTGCCTGTCCTGTGATGTCACACACGGGGCTCTTGCTGCCCCACACTGTCACAAAGGGGCCTCTGCCCCCCTGCTGGGGTATAAAAGGGGCCATGGGATGCTGTGACACTGTGGACGGGCATCACCAGGGCCTCTGCCACCCCAGCTGGGTTGGGGACCCTTCAATGGGGCCCCACAGGTCACCAGGGAACCTCTTCACCAACCTGTGCTGGTGACTGGGATGGTGCCATGGAGCTCCTCAACATCTTCACCCTGGGTGAGCTGGTGGCAGTCACGATGGTGGTGCTGCAGCTCATCCTGGTCATTGCCGTGCTACGGGACAAGTGTCTATGGGTAGGTGGCCTCTGATCTGCTGTGTGGGCTGGGCTGGGCCGTGTGGATTTGGGGTGTGTTGGTGTGGCATGCGTGGCAGGACAATATGGTGCATTCTGGAGAGCTGCTCTTGTCTCGCCCATCTGGGGTTCTTGCAGAGGATCCGACAGAACTCAAAGCACGCGAGCACAGCAAGCGGCCAGCCGGAGGGGCAGAGCAACGTGGGCAGAGCACGGAGATCAGCAGAGATGGAGCTGCCCCATGGCAGCTCCCCACGTTGTTCCATGAGCTCCAGGAAGCATTTCCCAAGGTTTATCCGGAGCTGCCAGGACTCCCAGGCGCTCTTCGAGGAGCACCGCACGGAGCTGGAGGCACAGCTGCCCCGGGGGCCGAGGATGCCGAGGGGCTGCAGGGCGGTCCTGCCCACGGAGCTGGGGCTGCTGGGGGGCAGAGAGTCGCCGCAGGGCCCCAGAGAGGAGCGGCCCAGGGCGGGCACGGCCGAGAAGGACAGAGCCAAGGCCGGGACACGAGGCAGCAGCGATGCCCCGGAGCTGGAGCGTGACAGCGGCTGCACGGCCATGGCCTGGTTCATCCCCGGGGCCGTGCAGATCGCCGAGGCCGCGGGCTCGGAGGGCACAGGCAGCAGCAGCAGCAGCAGCAGCTCGCTGGGGCTGACCTTCAGCATGCAGAGCGCGGACCCGTGGTGGGGCCCGCTGCGGCCCCCCGCCCCACGGCCGCTGCCGCAGCCCCCGCGCCGGGACCGGGAGCCAGGCTGGGAGCCGGGCAGGGCCCTGGGCAAGCTCCATGCCCGGCTCGGGGGGTGCCTGGCAGCCTGGTGCAGCCGCCGCCTCCCTCTGCCCTGCTGCCGCCAACGCTGAGCCCCCAATGCCCCGTGTGTGGAGCTGCAGGAACGGAACCGGCTGGGGCCGAGGCTGTGGTCATGTCCATGTCCGTGTCCACGTCTGTGTCCGTGTCTGTGCCTGTGCCTGTGTCCGTGCCTGTGCCCGTGCCCATGTCCGTGTCCGTGTCCGTGTCCGTGCCTGTGCCTGTGCCTGTGCCCGTGCCCGTGCCCGTGCCCGTGTCCGTGTCCGTGTCCGTATCCGTGCCTGTGTCCGTGTCCATGTCCATGTCCATGTCCATGTCCATGTCTGTGTCCATGTTCATGTCCATGTCCGTGTCCGTGTCCGTGTCCGTGCCTGTGCCTGTGCCTGTGCCCGTGTCCGTGCCCGTGCCCGTGCCCGTGCCCGTGCCCGTGTCCGTGTCCGTGTCCGTGTCCGTGTCCATGTCCGTGTCTGTGCCCGTTCCCCTGCCCGTGTCCGTGTCCGTGCCTGTGATCATGGCTGTGCCTGTGTCTGTGCCCATGTCCATGTCCATGTCCGTGTCCATGTCTGTGCCCATGCCCGTGCCTGTGTCCGTGCCCATGTCTGTGTCCACGCCCATGTCCATGCCTGTGCCCATGCCCATGCCCATGCCCATGTCCGTGCCCGTGCCTGTATCTGTGCCTGTGCCTGTGCCATGCTCGTGTCCATGCCTGTGTTTGTGCCCATATCCATGCCTGTGTCTATGTCCGTGCCCATGCCCACTCCCGTGTCCATTGCCGTGTCCATGACCGTGTCCATGCCCGTGCCCATGCCCATGTCTATGTCCATGTCCGTGCCCATGCCCGTGCCCATGCGGAGCAGCTGCAGCTGGCCCTGCCCAGCCCTGCCCAGCCCTGCCCAGCCCAGCCCAGCCCTGCCCAGCCCCGCCTGGAAGGAAGCAGCTTGCTCAGGCAGGACCTGGCTCTCCCAACCCCACGCTCTCCAGGCCTGCTCCCTGGGTACCTCAGACTTTTACTTTTCCTCCTTTCTTTGCCTCAATGTTTCCTCTCAGCAATGAAAAAAAAACAAACAAAAAAAAATCCCCCAACAAAACCAAACCAAAGCTAAGGTGGCATTTGTAAAAGTCAGTTTTGGTGTCTTTCACAGCAGCAGCACATTAAGTTCTAGCAGGGCTTTGGCCCGTCTCGTTTTCCCCTGCAGGACTTCAGGACATCCTTGTCACCTCCTGCTTTGCTGTCCCTTCTTGCAAAGGCCATCCCTCTCCATTCCTGCTGCCTCCCCCCTTGCTTCCCTGAGAATCCCAAACTCCTCCTTGGGTGCCCTCTGTGCCCAGGAGAGCCTCCCCCATCACATCCCTTCTCTCTTTTCTTGTTCGTATTTTGCCTTCTGTGTTTTTTGTAATTTGTTTCTATTCTCTCACGAGTGTCTTTCTCACAGTCCCGTGCCCAAGGCTGCCAGGGCTCTGCCCTGGGCTCCTGGGTGTCCCAGAGGGATTTCTGACTGCCCCACACTGTCCCAAAGGGATTTCTGAGTGCCCCACACTGTCCCGAAGGGATTTCTGACTGCCCCACATTGTCACAAAGAGGGTTCTGGCTGCTCCATGATGTCACACAGGGGACTCTGCCAAACTGCCAGGCTATAAAAGGGGCCCCACAGGAGCAGACAGTGCTGGGCACAGCAGTCTGGCAGTGTCTTGGCAGCCAACAGCCTCGGCCTCTGCCACCCCACCAGGGTTGGATTTCCATCACTGGCACCCCGCAGGTCACTGGGGAGCCTCTTCACCAGCCTGTGCTGGTGACCTGGAGCTCCAGGGATGGGACCATGGGGTGCCCCCAGACCTGCAGCCAAGGTTCCCCCAAACCTCCCGGGCGCTCTTGGGGGAGCACCGCACGGAGCTGGAGGCACAGCTGCCCCGGGGGCCGAGGATGCCGAGGGGCTGCAGGGTGGCCCAGCCTGAGGTGCCCGCGGAGCCGGGGCTGCTGGGGGGCAGAGAGCCACCACAGGGCCCCAGAGAGGAGCGGCCCACAGTGGGCACGGCCAAGAAGGACAAAGCCAAGGCCAGGAGACGAGGCAGGAGCACGTTCCTGCAGCTGGAGCAGCGCGCTCCTGGACAAGGCAGCAGCTCCAGGGCCATGGACCGGTTCCTGCCCCCCAGAGAAGGGCAGAGCTTTGGCCCCAGGGCACCAAGGAACAGCACCAGCGTGCTGGGGCCGGGCAGGACCGGCACCGCTCCGCAGGGCAGGGCACCCCGTTCGCTGCCCAGGCCCCGGCAGCAGGTGCCCGAGGAGAGTGGCAGGGGGGCAGGATGTGGCTTCCTGGAGCTCTGCTCCTCCCTGAGGGGGCTCGTGGTGGGCTGGTGGACGCGACACGCGCAGCGCCGCCGCAGCCACCACGTCCGCTTCGCCAGCCCCCTGGTGACAGTGAGGTACATCGACTAGAGGGGCTGTGGACATCCCCCTGCAAACGCCTTGGAATTCATTTCTCATTAATAAATTACCAAATCCCATCAGTGTCTTACTTTCACCCCTTCAGTTCTGCCCTCCAGGGGTGCAGGAAGGTGTTCCTGGCCATGGCAGGGGCATTGAATGAGAGGAGTTTTAAGGTCCCTCCCAACCCAAACCGCTCTATGATTTCACAGTGATGCCACTGCTCATTCTGGAGCTCCATGGCATGGCTTTCTCGCTGGGTGGGAGTTGGTCACATCTGGCACTCCCCAGGGAGCTGTGCCACCGTTTATGGCTGCAGCTCTTGGTGTGGAGAGAGCCCTGTGCTAAGAGCTGGACTAAAACCCGCGGCTGCAGGTTCCTGCAGGGCACTGCCCAGGACTCAGGGCTGTGCCAGCCCCCAGCCCGGTGTCCCTGCTGACCGTGGCTCGCTGGGTGTCACTGCAGCTCAGCAGGGACAGGCTCCCAGCAAAGCCCAGCCCTCCCCACCTCCCCCTGAATGCAAGGGCTAAAAGGTGCTGAAGAAAACGAGACTGTTCTGTCCCAACAAACCGGCACGGACATCCGAGCGGGCACAGGAACTGTCCCGGTTCTGGCCCGGTTCTGTCCCAGCACTCGATCCCCAGTTCTGGCCCGGTTCTGTCCCAGCTTCGAACCCCAGTTCTGTCCCGGTTCTGTCCCAGCACTCGATCCCCGGTTCTGGCCCGGTTCTGTCCCAGTTCTGGCCCGGTTCTGTCCCGGTTCTGTCCCGGTTCTGGCCCGGTTCTGTCCCAGTTCTGGCCCGGTTCTGTCCCGGTTCTGTCCCAGCACTCGATCCCCGGTTCTGTCCCAGCACTCGAACCCCGGTTCTGTCCCGGTTCTGTCCCAGCACTCGAACTCCGGTTCTGTCCCAGTTCTGTCCCAGTTCTTCCCCGGTTCTGTGCCGATTCTGTCCCAGTTCTGTCCCGGTTCTAACCCGGTTCTGGCCCGGTTCTGCCCCGGTTCTGTCCCATCGAGTCCCGGTTCTGTCCCATCGAGTCCCGGTTCTGTCCCATCGAGTCCCGGTGCCGGTTCTGTCCTGCAGTTCCGCGCGGCGCCGCCGGGGGGCGCTGGTGTCGCGGGCGCTGCGGGAGCGGCGCCGTTGGGACCCCGACCCCCCCCCCGCGGGTGTCCCGAATGTCCCCGAATGTCCCCGAATGTCCCCGACCCGCCCCGAATGTCCCCGACCCTCCCCAAATGTCCCCGAACCTCCCCGAGTGTCCCCGAATGTCCCCGACCCTCCCCAAATGTCCCCGACCCTCCCCGAATGTCCCCGACCCACCCCAACCCCCCCTGACCTCCCCACACCGAGCCCAGCCCTTCCCGAGCAGGGCTGGCTGTGGGCATCGGGCACATCGCGGTTTCACAGTGCCACCTCCAGGGGACACCTGCAGGGATGGGCACTCCAAAGCTCCCTGGGCAGCCCCTGCCAGGGCCTGAGCCCCCTTTCCATGGGGAAATTGCTGCTGCTGTCCCAGCTGAGCCTGCCCTGGCCCAGCCTGAGGCCGTTCCCTCTCCTCCTGTCCCTGTTCCCTGGAGCAGAGCCCGACCCCCCGGCTGTCCCCTCCTGGCAGGAGCTGTGCAGAGCCACAAGGTCCCCCCTGAGCCTCCTTTTCTCCAGGCTCAGCCCCTTCCCAGCTCCCTCAGGAACTCTCCAGCCCCTTCCCAGCTCCCTCAGGAACTCTCCAGCCCCTTCCCAGCTCCGTTCCCTGCCCTGGACATGCTCCAGCCCCTCCAGGTCTATGCAGTGAGGGCCCAGGAGTGGACATTTGTGGAAGGTGGGAGCTCGTCCATCTCCAGCTGTCTGGGACGTGTCCACAGGAGGCTTGAACTTCATCACCTCTGGGTGGGTGGTCCCAGCAGGAGCTGCCAGCTCCAGGTAACTCCTGTCCGTGTCCCGCTGTCCATCCTGAGTGGCAGCAGCCCTCGTGTCCCACAGCCCTTCCCAGGCTTTTCTCTCCAAGCCCCGTGGCCCTGGGCAGCTTTGGGTATTCCTGCTGCTCCCCAGACTGGAGCTCTCCGTAGCTTCAACTGATTCCTGGGGAATTCTGCCAGAGTTGAAAGCTGCCCAGTACGTGAAGCTGTCCGTCCGTCTGTCTGTCTGTCTGTCTGTCAGGATGTACCCACGGCGTCCATCCCTGAGCGCACAGCCCGGCTGCCGTGGGATCCTGCGCTGTGCCGGGCGCTCAGCAGGCTCAGGGGACGGGCACGCCGGGGAGCCCAGGCCAGGGAAAGCTGCTGCGGTGCCAGGGGACAGCGGAGCCTGTCCCTGCAGTGCCAGGACACCTGGCACGGGGAGCCAGGATCCGGTGACATTGCAAGAGCTGCCCTGGAACCTGCTCCCCATCTCCTCTGGGCAGGGATGCTCTGAGATTTCCCCCTGTGGGACCTTTCCCCACCGAGTTTGGAACTTCCCCAGCTTCTGGCCAGGTTCCACACAGTGGATTTGGGGCTCTGCCCCTTTGCCAAGGCCGCCTGAACCCCTCCTGCTCTGGGCTGAGGGCAGCCCTTGGCCCAGGTTTCACCCCGCCACTGCAGCTCTGGGTTCTGGCCGGGAATTCTCCCGGAGCCCTGACTTGGAGCTGTAAGAGGTCTGACTTCTTTCCTTGCCTTT